ATATATATATATATATATATATAGATATATATATACATAATTGATCATTATTATTATATTATATTTTATGGCGCTCCTTTCATCATCATAAAAATAGATTAATTGTAATGCTATCCCTTATTTTAGAGATTGCATTTTATTATTTTATTTTATTTTTTTAAGTTTAAAACTACAACTATTAGTATATAAAATGATGTACCGGTATTAATTTATTACTAATTATTTTTATATATTTACTTCAGGCCCACAACCACTTCACACCCATTCACACAACATGAAAATAAATATAGCTTAAGCTCTTCAGAACTACTTTTTCGTGACTTCTGGGATCCAACAGTATAAACTGACATTTTTCGTCGTCTCAAAAAAATCAACATAAAAGGACCTGTTTCGTTCTTTATCTCTAGAACCTCTTGCCTGGTATAAACTCAGCAACTTTTTGCTCTCACGTCGGAAACTGTTTTTCCATTCTCTAGGCCTTTTTAACACAGCTGAATTTTTTCCAATTTTACCAAAATGTTGCTGTTCGCAGCTGCACAAGGCATTACTATTTTTAGATTTCACTTGAATTTTTTTTCAGCTGCAATCTGTCAACAGATTTAAAGGTCTTTTTTGTTGTTGTTATTGCTATCACTACAGAAACAACAGTGTCTGGTCAAAAGGCCTGGTGTCCGTTTACCTCAGCAGCAGACATGAACAGGAATCTTATTTTTAAAAAAATCATAGTAACCTTGAATATGGGCCCAAAATCCTGGATTCACGCTGCTGAAGAAAAGACCAGAAGTTTCCCCAAAGACTCATACCACGTTGGTTGCGCCAAAATGTAGTGGCTAATACTACATTAAATACTTTTGGGTTCATTAAATAAAACAGGAGACACCATGGTTCTGAATGAAAGCAAAATGGGGATTTTATTGGAGACCTCGAAAACAGAACCCCTTCTGATGGGGACGTTATCAGAGTTTTTATATACTTCTGAAATAGCACATGAACATAAGCTTATTATTGCCAGAAGTTTTTCCAGAGTCTCTGATGCACTCAAAGATTTTTCTATAAGCACATTATTTTCAGGTCAGCCTGACAAGACATCTGTAACACTTAGTTGATAAAAACAGTTCTGGCGGGAAACAGTCTTATAAAAACACGATCTTGCACCCAGAAATTCCTGGTAATAGACACTGATAAAGTCAATTCAGCTTGACTGGAAACAAGCTCCCATGCATGGCCTTTTTAGGAAAAACAAGTCTACCACTTCAACACAACATTCCACTGGGCCCTCCTTCCAGGGACGTGGACGAAGCAGAAGGCGAGGGAACGGGCATTTTAACCACCACTGGATTCCAATGACTGTGAATGCTGTCACAATTGTGGACAAACTGGACACTGGAAGATCGAATGTCCAGATCCACCATGAGGACACCGTTCTACCAACAAGTTCAATTAGACTGACTGGAGGACTGGACCCTGAGATCGGATGAGGAGGGTGGCTGTTCCACAACACCTGAAAAGGGAAGTGAGACGCCAAACAGCACACACCATTACACCCATCTGATATGGCGCCACTCAAAACTGATGCACTTTCTTTGCTTACAGGGGTCACCACACACACTTAGAAACGCAAAACAACAACACATGTTTGAACACATGGGTATTTACAATCTCAGGCCTACAAGCAATGGCTATGTTCAACCTCACAATTAAAATGGGAAAATTTGAAAATTAAATTGAAATGAAATTGAATTTAATTGAAAAATTAAAAAATGTGTTCAATTTATTTTGGGTAGAAGTCAAATTTTAGAGTGTCTCTAAAATATAGGAAAAAAAATAAAAATAAATGCAAAAACATTGTGATCCATGGGTTGCTGCCGGTGTATCTGAGAAACTTTGGATTTTCTCTTAACACAACATCCTGGTGCATTTCAAACTGAACAGGACCTCAGACAGCAGCTGGTCCATCCTAATGACAAAATCCACAAACACAAACTAAAAGGTATGTTGTATGCAGTTCAGTACAGTGAGGAATGTCCAGACTTCAATACTGGAGAACCTAAACAACCTGTTGACAGTCATCCTCAACACAGGAGAGCAGCCCTTCAAGATAAGACTATTATTTGAATGTCCTGTGTGTTGTAGTGCACTCACCTCTCCCAAACAGCCCTCTTTCTGTAGGTATCTGCGTACAGCTGCCCAAACTTGACTTTTTGGTAGAACGCTGCCACCCGTCAGTTCCTCAAAGTTTGTATAAGATTCATATTTCTTCAAAACACACTCCATGATTCCAACTGCCTGCAGGTAAGCACAAATTCCAGTCAGTCAAATCAAAGTATAAAACAAGAAACAAACAAAAAAAAGAGCCTCAAATCCATTACCTAAATGACGAGGTTTTGAAAAAAATAACAGTGAATAATTTTATTCAAAGTATAGGACAAGATACTGGGAACTCTTAAGGGAAAATAAAATGCCTGGCCAAAAAATAAAACATGGATGAATCATCACTCTTGAAAGATGTTCTTTAAATTGTTTATTTTTGTATGAAAAAATAACAGGTATGTCACAAAATGTTGAAAAGAGATACACATATATTTTTAAAGAAAGTATTTTTATTAAAGTTTTTAACACAAACACACAAAAGACAAACAAAATGAAACCCACGGAACAAAATCCCCTCCCACACCGGATCAGTCACTGATACATAGTCTATACAGGCACTGACATGCCTTCAACAAACGACAGAAAAGGCTGCCAGTGTCCCAGACTCTTCCCATAGATCCCCTCAGGGTATATCTGATTTTTCCAGATTGATAAGGTATATGACTTCTCGTATCCAATGTACATATGCTGGGGTGTGTGAGTCCTTCCAGTTGCACAAAATGAGCCTCTTGGCCAGAAGAGAGCCAAAAGCAATCACATCCTTCTTGTGCTTGCTGAAGGACATTGTTAAGTGTAATGTGTATTATTTGCACTAATCATGCTCAGTAACTCTCCTGGACTGTTCTGCAACATCTGTTCTGCTGATGTATTTGGATGTGTAATATTAACTGTCCCATGTACTCACTCTTAGTGTGAACAGTCAGTGAGGAACAGAAAGAACTGGTAGTCCTGATGCATGCTCAATAATCCAGGTAGAAAAATCTAAAAAAATTAAATCTGGTCCTCTGGACATTAAAAAAAAAAAAAAAAAAATACACAAAAAATTGCAGAAACGTTTTGTCTTTCATCCGAAAGAATTCTTCAAAATGTTTCTACAATTTTTTTGTTTTGTTTTTTTTTTTTTTGAATGTCCAAAGGACCAGAAAGAACTGGTTGTTTTTCATACACTCAATGGTTGATTGATATGATAAGAGTTTATATGACATGGTGACATGTCTTCAAACAGAGTTCTTGACTCAGATCCACTCCTTCCTATCTGCAACAGACCTTTCGATGACGGCTCGGACATGGAGAGGAGGGCCTGAGCTGAAGGTTATTCTATAAAACTAACTTGTCGGGTTCAGGAAGTTAGAGCAGGTCAGCTTTTCAGATAGATGAGAACACTGATAAGAGCGTAATCTTGTAATTGCATTTAATGTTCTGTGAATGCTGGACTGCTCTCCAAAGCTTTGTAAATAAATCTGATGAATTACACCTTGGTCTGTTTGGGAATCTCCTTTATCCATTCAATTTTTTATCCAATTTCTTCCTTATCCGGGGTCAGGTCGTGGCGGTAGCAGCTTAAGGAGGGAGGCCCAGACTTCCCTCTCCCCAGCCACTTGGGCCAGCTCCTCCGGGGAATCCCGAGGTGTTCCCAGGCCAGCCGAGAAACATAGTCCCTCCAGCGTGTCCTGGGTCTTACTCTGGGCCTCCTCCTGGTGGGACGTGCCCGGAACACCTCACCAGGGAGGCATCCAGGAGGCATCCTAAACAGACGCTCAAGCCACCTCAACCGGCTCCTCTCGATGTGGAGAAGCAGCGGCTCTACTCTGAGTCCCTCCCGGATGACCGAGCTTCTCACCCTATCTCTAAGGGAGAGTCCAGACACCCTGTGGAGAAAACTCATTTCGGCCACTTGTATCCAAGATCTCGTTCTTTCGGTCACAACCCAAAGCTCATGACCATAGATGAGGGTAGGAACGTAGATCAATCGGAAAATTGAGAGCTTCACCTTTTGACTCAGCTCTCTCTTCACCAAGACAGACCTGTACAGCGCCCGCTTCATTGCAGATGATGCACCTATCCGCCTATCGATCTCATGCTCCATTTTTCCCTCATTCGTGAACAAGACCCCAAGATACTTGAACTCCTCCACTTGGGGCAGGACCCCCTCCCTGACCCAGAGAGGGAACTCTACCCTTTTCCGGCTCAAGACCATGGCCTCGGATTTGGAGGAACTGATCCTCATCCCGGTTGTGTCGCACTCGGCTGCGAACCGCTCCATTTCTAGATCACAATCTGATGAAGCCAACAGGACCTCATCATCTACAAAAAGCAGAGATAGAATCCTAAGGCCACCAAAATGGATCCCCACAACACCTTGGCTGCGCCTAGAAATTCTGTCCACAAAAGTTATGAACAGAATTGGTGACAAAGGGCAACCTTGGCAGAGTCCAACTCTCAATGGGAATGAGCCCAACTTACAGCCGGCAATGCGGACCAGGCTCTGACACCGGTCATACAGGGACCTAACAGCCCGTATCAAAAGGCCTGGTACCCCATACTCCCGGAGTACCTCCCACAGGGTTACCCGAGGGACGCGGTCGAACACCTTCTCCAAGTCCACAAAGCACATGTAGACCAGTTGGGCAAACTCCCACGCACCTCCAGGACCCTGCTGAGAGTGTAGAGCTGGTCCAGTGTTCCACGACCAGGAAGAAAACTGCACTGCTCCTCCTGAATCCGAGGTTTGACTATCCGATGGACCCTCCTCTCCAGAACCTCCGAATAGACCTTACCAGGGAGGCTTAAGAGTGTGATCCCCCTGTAGTTGGAACACACTCTACGGTCCACCTTTTTGAATAGGGGGACCACCACCTCGGTCTGCCAATCTAGGGGAACTTCCCCTGATCTCCACGCAATATTGCAGAGTCGCGTAAGCCAACACAACCCTACAACATCCAGAGCCTTAAGGAGCTCCGGGCGAATCTCATCCACCCCTGGGGCCCTGCCACCGAGCAGCTTTTTAACCACCTTGGTGACCTCAGCACCAGAGATTGGAGGACCCGACCCAGAGTCCCCAGGCTCCGCTTCCTCAGTGAAAGACGTGCCGGTGGGATTGAGGAGGTCTTCAAAGTATTCTGCCCACCGACCCACTACATCCCGAGTTTAGGTCAGCAGCAAACCACCCCCAATATAAACTGTGTTGGTGGTGTACACCCCCCCCCCCCCCCCCCCCCGAGACGCTGGATGGTGGACCAGAATCACCTCAAAGTTGTGAGGAAGTCATTTTCCATGGCTTCTCTGAACTCCTCCCATGCCCGAGTTTTTGCCTCAGCGACCACCCGAGTCGCATGTCGCTTGGACTGCCAGTACCCATCAGTTGCTTCCGGGTTCCCACAGGCCAATAAGGCCCAATAGGACTCCTTCTTCAGCCTGACAGCATCCCTCACTGCCAATGTCCACTACCGGGTTTGAGGGTTGACTCCGCGACAGGCACCGACAACCTTGCGGCCGCAGCTCCGGTAAGCCGCCTCGACAATAGAGACACGGAACATGGCCCACTCGGACCCAATGTCCTCTACCTCCCCCGGAACATGTTCAATGTTCTCCTCGAGGTGGGAGTTAAAGCTCCATCTCACAGGAGACTCTGCCAGACGTTCCTAGCAAACCCTTACAATACGTTTGTGCTTGCCAGGTCTGACTGGCATCCTCCCCCACCATCGGAGCCAACTCACTACCAGGTAGTGATCAGTAAACAGCTCCGCCCCTCTCTTCACCTGAGTATCCAAGACGTGGCCGCAGATCAGATGAGACGACGACAAAGTCGATCATCGAACCGCGGCTGCAGGGACCACGCCAAACAGTGAGATGAGGGGTGATGGGTGTACAGTTTTGCCACATATCCCAGAGTAGGTGTCAAAAAAAGATTGTCAAAAGGTCTGCAGTTAGGGACAGGTCCAGAATGTATGCAAGAGTGTAGCTGGAGTTTGTTTACAATGATTACATGTGGGGTCCAGGTCTGCTTTGGTTTTAGACTACTTGTCTTTGGACCAGTGCAGCCAGCACACCACCTTGAATTGAATTACAGCATGTCTCAGACAGATTGAGGATGAGTATATGTTCTTAATGATCTTTTGCCAGATTGGGTATGATATGGATTTGTCCGAGTCCATTTCCCATTTCAGTTTAAGGGAGTCCAAACTGTCTCATGGTATGAACTGAGCAGTGTATAGATCTTGCTGAGGCCCCCCTTAGTATCAGACCTGCATTCCAAAATCTTAACCACAAAATGTTTAGAGGGGCACAAAGGAAAGCAATCAGTTAGACCTCACAAAATGTCTCAGCTGGACATATCTAAATAAATAAATAAAATAATATTATTATGTATTGTAGGGCGGTTCTACAATGTTAGCACAATTAATTGATTACCGTTAGTACATAGTATGCACCCGAATATGGTAGTGGATTTTTTTAATCTCTTTTTAAGTGCACATGTGATATTTAAGGTAATACTTGCACATTTTGCTGTTTCTTTTTGTTTTTTAATTACTATTAATCATATCATATGTGGGCAGATGGGAGCCCAGATGTTTGGATCAAGTTCTGTAGGGTAAGAATTAAATGTGTAGATTTTCAGTTGACAATGTTTTTTGTTCTCTCCGTGTTCATTAGGAGAGAGAGGTGGGTTTATACAGGATCAGTCTTTTGTGTTATTTTTTTTTTGTTTCTTTCTTCTATCATTCATTCAACCTTTATTTATACAGGTTAGTCTCATTGAGCATCGGGGACTCATTTACAAGAAAGACCTGAATTTTAACAAAGACTGATGACAACAGTGGACAACAAGGACAACAATAGACAATCATAAAGGATGTGTACATTTTTTTTAACAAATGACAATAAAATGGTAATTAAAACGATAATTAAAAGGAAAAGTAGCAACAAAAAAAAACAGCTAGATTGTAAGGCGGTGTAGAATACTAAAAACAGGAAAATGTCTGCATTGATTTTTGCCAGGAACTTAACAGATGTTTAAAGCCACTTAAAGAGGTCAAGGTCGAGATCTTCAGATCTTCTTGCAGTATTCAGGTATTAGCTTGTGATATTTTATGTGTAAATTATTTCTTGCTGTTCAACCATGATCAGTGTTAAGG